ACAAGGGGACTCCTGGATCAAGTATTAGAAGAAACTTGCCTTCGTGTAGGACTTACTTAATGAAATAAGCCAGCATTTGCGTTACGTGGGGAAAAAACCACAAAATCCTCCAAAGATTAGCCTGACGGTAAGGGGACTCTAACTCGAGATTCGTTTACTACAGAGGATATTTTTAATCAGCACTGTGGTCGGTGCTAGCCACGTGCGGAATTCACCTCACGTCCTGTAATGTCTGGTTGTTTTACTTACAATATGTTCTAGAGATTTTCAATGCCGTCTGATTTACCCGTTTCGCTAACCACTTTGAAGCGTGTATGTAGTGAGATTTAAAACTGCTGTAACTCTGGATGCACATTCTTGCGCAATCACTTTTTAAAATTAAAGAGAGTTTCAAGTCATTCTTTGTATTACAATGCAATTCAGTACGTGAGTAAATATATTTCAAATATTCCACAAAAAAATTATAAAAAGACACCATAGATTGATGTATCTAAGTATCCTGAAAACACATTAATTGAACATTTAAGTCGATCATTTATGTTCTCTACCCCTTGTTTAAATTAAGAATTATATTAGGAAATATATTTATCCAACTCCTATGAATCCTTTAATTTAACTGCCATTTGAACCATAAAAGTCAGAATAGTCTATTACAGTTCAGTTTGGAGAAATGCATATATGTCAAAAGAAAATTTCCCAAATAAACGGCAAAAATTCTAAATTAAATGATACATTTAAATAAACAGTGTGGCATTTTTATCATGATACTTTAGAACATGGCATGAAAATCTGATGAAAATTACTTTTCAGTTTTGCATTTTTGCTGAATGTATCGTAATAAGACCTACAATTTCGAAAACTAGAATTTCTTGTAAACCGTTATCATACCGAGCGGAAAATTACGAAATGATTGGTTTAAATATAGTAGATTTTGGTATAATTACTAGAATTATTGTTTTATTTTACTAGTCAATACAAACAATAATTAATTATGAGATAACACACGTATACACAATTACACATATATACAATTAATTATGAGATAACACACATATGAGATAACACACAATTCATTCTAAGATAACACACATATAAAAAATTATGTAAAGTAACCATATCGACTGGTAAAGGCCTTATCCAGTCGATATGGTTACTTTACATAATTTTTTATATGTGTGTTATCTTAGAATGTGAGATGATAAAAAAAGTTATATTTCATATTTGTTTTAGAAAACGGTTCTCTCATAATTACATATGTCATACTCCTAATTGACGACTTCATATAAATCAAAATTTGTTGATCAGCCTATCCAGATTAATTCAAATAAAAGCTCCATTATTTAGTTCCAATTAATACAGTTAACAGTGAACTTAATTATCAATAGGTAATTATATACATTCAAGAAATATTTGAGTACATCTTAAAAACAAGTTCTATATATTTCTAAGACAATTTTTGAAACTTAAGAGGTAGTTTTATTTTCCTATACTGTTTCGATTGTTGTATAATATATAATTTCATAATATGTGAAGTCTGTTACTGATGCACGCAAAGAGCTATAGGCAATTTTGTCAAAACTGAGGCATGTAAATCAATTTACCAAAGTAATTCATCCTAAAGCGATTTCTCTTGATTGAATCTACCCTTTCTGTTATAACCTTTCTCGGATTTGACAGTGTTAGGGAGGGATGAAATACAGCTCCTGCCTTGTTGATCCAAACGATCTGACAAACGCCCCCCCCCCTTTATAATTTGCTTTCGCGGTGATTGTGAAACTATTTCTCTGATCTAAACCAAGTCTCTCCCTAATTGCGAAGTCGGTCTCCGTGCCTTTCATCTGACCGGACCATCCGCCGGTCTAGTTAAGGCCGGAGTCACGTACCGGAGAGTCCCGGACACTCATATATGCACACAGAGAAATATACAAGTGAGCGCGACCTAAACTCTCTGTCTTGTTAGAAATTTTGCTGAAGCCAGGGCTTTTCTGAGGCAAAGGGACCGGCAATATCTTACGCTCCCCCTTCCAGATTCTTAAAAGCCTCGGAGCAAACGTAAAAGCCGCTTCTGAGTAAGCAGCTATTTTGAGATATCGAAACAATTAGAAACCGACCACTCCTGTTTCATTTCGATTCCCAGACGTTAAGTTTGTGCGATCATATTCAGAATGCTTATGAAATGAGACTTTTATGATATCGATGATCTGGGAACTGAAAATTAAGAGTTTAATTTCCTCTGGCAATTAATAATGCCTGTGTCTTATTGTTTATATAAAAATAAATTTATATTTGACATATTTTTTAACTGAACTGGTTTTCGCATTCTGTGTTTAACTAGTTCCTTTACCAATTATTTTTGAAGAAAAAAAATAGAAAAATCAGCATATTTTTTTAAAATTTTTTTAATAAATACAATGAACTAAAACAAAACTTAATATTCAAGTTTTAAGATGAAATTTTAACTGTTTTATGTGGAAAAAGCATTTAATTTACTATTGATTTCATACCCCGAGTTATTACGGGATACTAAACCAATGAAAAAAGTAAAAATGAAAAAAAGTTAAATAGGTATTAGTCTCTTTAAATGTCTAAATCTTCATAATCGGAAAAATCAATTTTTAACTTTCTTAAACGAACGTCCTTTTTTTTTACTCTTTTATTATATCTTTTTTACTCTTTTATTATATCAGCGGCTATCGTATATATAATCGCACAAAACATGTGTGCAGTCCCATAATCCAACAGCAGAACTCCCAAACAGAATTTGGCAAACTTTCAATTACAGCAGATTTTTTTTTTCCTCTTTTGACCAAGTAAAAACGTGATAAAACAAAACAAACTGACAAATTTGCTATGCCCGAGTTTTCTCGGGATAACAAATATTTGCAATGATTGTATACCCGAGTTAATTCGGAATATTCAGGGAAGCGGTTAAGAACTCAAAATATTTTATCATAATGTTTATATTACCAAAATGTTATCATGAAATCTGTTATCCCTTTTTTTTGCGTTGCGAGATATTTTTTAATATATCGTAGACATTTTTGTATCTCAGATTTAAAATCTGTACTAGGTTTCTCTCTGCAAGCTACAGTTTTTTAAACTATAGATATTTTTTCAATTTTGTGTCAAAATACGTTTAAAAACTCATCATATTCTATCGTGATTTTTATATCTTAAAAATTTTATCAGAACACTAGAAAACATTTTTTCTGCTGTATGATATTTTTTAACAGATCGTAGATACTTTTATATCGCTGATTTCAAATTTATAATTGGTTTCTCTCCTATATCAACAGATGTTTTTTAAATAATATTTTTATTCGAAATATAAGGGTTTAAAAAACACATATAACATGGGTCGCAAAAATCTTGCGACAAACTTAAGTTAGTTATGGCACATGATTAGGATTAAAAGTGCACAGGAAACCATACCCAGAAAAGTCGTTATACGCCGCTTGAGACCTTTCCTATTATAAACTTTTTCTTTGTGAACTTCTGAACAGAAAAGATCTCCTACGTATGGGTTCCAATGGATTCTAACGCAATTTTAATTTTGATACTTTCTAACTTTTCTAGAAATTTGTCGCAGTATTTATACGACCCCATGTAACATTTTAACGTTTAACGTTTTTAAAATTTTTTTAAAAAACTGGACTGAAAATGAACCCAAAACGCCATTTTAAGGAAATCTGTAGTTTTCGGATCAAATCTAATACCATATTTGAAATCTCTTCTTCCGCCGAAGTAAGCAAGATCAAATATTTGTATAAATTCAACAAAAACCTTCCCCTGTATAATTCGAAAGGTTAAAACATTTTAAGTTTTTTTTTTATTGCGAGCCTATTATTTAAAGGAAACACTCTTAATCTCAAGGGATAATAGATTTTGTTTTAGATATTCGAAAAAAAATCAGCCATTAATTTTTTTAAACTTAAAAGTCTGTTTTTCTCTGCTTTCAAATGCAATGTGGTATTTATTTATTGCTTAGATATTTACTTTAAACTAATATTGCTGCATTCATCTGTACATTATATTTGATTTTTAAATTTTATACAACATTAAGTAATTACTATCAAAATATTAATATATAAAAATGAATATAGTAAAGTAACTTTTTAAAAGAGCTGAATAATGAGAAGAAAATTAATATAAATATTTGAATAAACGATTTTTTAAATTTTAAATATTTAAGAAGATCATAAACAACAATGATTATCCCCCGTGTAGAAAAGCATATTAAATGCAAACATAAGGAACTTTTCTTAATATGAATGGTGATGCACTAATAGTTTTAAAATCAATTTTAACTAACAGTCATAACATTCCTCGAATTGAATTTGAATAAGAATTTAAAGTTTTGTAGAATTATCATAAATTATAAAATAAGGAGTGGCATTCCTAATAATGAGAAATAAGTTTAGAAGCATAAACAACAAAAAAATTCTATTAAAATTTTAATGTGCATATTTTTTTTTTTTTTAATTTTATATTTGAGGAAATTTATATTTTAAAGTTTGAAGTTAAATTATTAAAAAATGTCCTTTACGTATTTTGAAACTGCTTAAATGAAATTAAATTTTGCTATTTCCTTTGACCGAAAGGGTGAAAGTTTGAATTCCGATTCTTTATTAAACATTACATTATTTAAAAAGGCTTTATTCGTCTAGATCTATAAATGCTTTTTTTTTCGTTGCAAGCATACATTTTGTGAAAATAATTAAGATAGTGTGCATTTAATACTGCAAAGAAATACATAAATAAGGGCATGAAAATTTTATTGTCCATTATATCTTGATTTGGTAAGAATTCTGATAGGACCTGCATTTTTTACCCTTAATTTTTCTTTCAAGTAAATAATTGTATTCTAGTCACTAGAATATTATAGCAAGTAAAGAAAACACAATTTCTTTGATATTAAGGTCAGCAATAGTTTCAATTAATTTAACATAGATAGTTAATTTTAATCTACAATTTATTTAAAATTAAAAAGTTTAACTTACCCCAATTATTAACATAAAAATGTTGCCGTGTAGGAGCTAATGCTTTCCTTCTTCTTCCTATTCCACCTCTTGCATTGCTTTTGCTGACTTGTTGACCTAAAATAAAAAATAAACAATATTTACTATTTCTTTCTTTTTTATTATTAATAATTTGGAATTGAAACTTACAACAATGTCATAAAATTAAACAACTTTTTATCTATGCAACAACCCGAAACCCAAGCACACATTACGCATATAATTTTTTTGCCAGTAGTCTTTTCAATCTGGATGGATGATGTTTTGATTTTCGCATGATATTGTAAATTGTATCATCATATTAATGATAATTTCAATATATTCTCAAGATGTATCGTGAATGGAATAATAGTGAATAAGAAAAGAATTTGGAAAAGGAATTGAAAAAAATGAAAAAGAAAGGAAATAATTGTAGTTTTTTTTTAAAAATTGAAAAAAAAAATTGGCGGAATTTCTAAATAAGTTTTAAGAAAAGTAACGTAATTCTGAATTTTGAAAAGAGATAAAAATTGATTCTTAACTTCAATTGTAAATATGGAAGTTTGCTTTACTAGTGAAAATTAGGTGAAAAACTTTATAATTTTAACATAATTTTAAAATTTAAAAAAAACTACAGATGGAGTGATATAAGGGTGCGCTTGCTCTACCTCTATTACAGCTCTATGAAACAAGCATTAAAATTCAACTTAACATTTAAATAGCCGTTGAAAAATAAAAGATAAATCAAAAATTGTTTTTAGTTTTAAATGCACAATATCGTCTAGCAGTTTTCGACATTCGCAGTTTTTAACATCGAATTTTCAGCATGTTCGTCTACACAAAAATAAATATTTCTTTAAGTTTAAATACTGCAATGTAATTAAGGAAATAAAATATTTGCGCAAGTCTACCAAAAGTAGTTAAAAGGCAAAAATAATTTTAAATTATAGCACCCCTGTATAAACCGTATATGCATTTATTCTCTTAAAAAAAATTAAGAAATTTTTATTAAATTCATCTTTTACAAAATTACGTCAAATCAATCTGCTACATCATGCATAGATCGCTAATTCATTTGAGTAAATCTTGAATATTTTTTTCAACACAATTTTCGAAGAAAATGCAAAGCAATTCTTTCATTTCAGCAGAACAAAATAAAATTTTTTCTTTTTTCAGAATTTTCCAATTCCTTTTTTTTTTGAGTGTGCTTATTATTTTGTTGTAACAAGAGACTTGAGAAAGGAAAAAGAAGAAGAAAAGCAAATCTAAGTGAAAAATAATCAAACAAAAGAAACCAGAATAATAGTACAAATCCTTTCTCTGATTCTGATTATAATGACATCGTTAGTTTCTCAGCTGGAATTCCACTACTACAAAATTTCCTGTCGATTTCACGAGGTATCAATGAACGATATAAATATATGGAGGTGTTTTATTGTTACTTTTTCTTACATGGAGTGTTTTTATTTGAGTTGAAAGGATAAAACAATATCTTACACTGTCCTGAAGTGCTGAACTTATTTCTCGTTAATAAAGAAAGAAATGAGGATCATTCTAGGTGAAAACAGATGGTTTCATACAATTGAAAAAGTATATGTGTTAGTGTTAACAAGTTAATGATGTAGAAGGAGTTTTAAGAATTTGAGAAAACTATGATTAACAAAACTATGTCTTAAACCTTAATAATTGTCTACTAGAAGCTAAAGTTGGTACTTTAAGCTTGAAAATAAAATATTGGAACACAAATATTTCAAAAAAGTTACAAATTAGTATAAAAAATATAATGAGCCTTAGAAATTTCCGTGAAATTTAGGTGAATGTTGACAAAACTCCATTTCGATCCAATTCTATTCACTATAAACTCTTTTTTTCTGAATTAAAAGTTTCAATAAAAATGAAATATTTTTATTCGATTTCTTTTATAAAACAAACACCAATTACCTGCAATTCGTTAGTGTTTTATTTAAGTAGCTTTCATGATTAAAACATTATTACTAATGCTAGTTAAAAGCAAGTATTTCACAATTCCTTTTTTAATTTAATAATTACTGTTTTAAACTATAGAAAATTGATACAGAAAAGGTACATATCTTTTCTGTGGTTCTAATTTTAATGACATCATTAGTTTTTCCTCGGAAATTATACTTCTACGAAATTCCCTGTCTATTTCACAAGGCGTCTATGAATTATATAAATATGTGGATATGTTTTATTCTTAATTTTCTGCTCTCATTTTAATTGAAAGGACAAAACAATATGATATGACATTCTGAAGTGCTGAACTTATTTCTTGTTAATAAAGGAAGAAACGAGGATCATTGTAGGGGAAAACAGAATTTTTTACACAATAGAAAAAGTATATATGTTAGTTTTTACTAGTTAATGAAGTAAAAAAAATTTATAGATTTGAGAATTATATACAATTATACAATTAGATACAATTATACAATTACATTTTATATGCAATTATATGCAATTATACAATTATATACAATTATATACAATTATATATTACAAAGNAATTAGATACAATTATACAATTAGATACAATTATACAATTAGATACAATTATACAATTAGATACAATTATACAATTAGATACAATTATACAATTAGATACAATTATACAATTAGATACAATTATACAATTAGATACAATTATACAATTAGATACAATTATACAATTATATACAATTATACAATTATGTTCAATTATATGCAATTATACAATTATATACAATTATGTATTACAAAGCAATTATATATTATAATACAATTATATATTCCAATCCAATTATTTACAATTCTTTAACGCTTTGTTTAATACGCTGTTAAAAATAATCGGGATCAAATTACAGTAAAAAAAGTACCGGAACTCAAGATACCAGTTCTTCTTCCCGTAACATTTTAATGAACAAAAAATAAAATACATCGTAATTTTTGTACGACAATATTTACAATAAAATTAGTGAATTACTGTAATTAATAAGTATCACTATAAAAATTATGGTATAAAATTGTACGATAAAAGGGATTATACGGATGATACATACAGCGTGCTAGAGCTTTTTAAAGCGTAGCTTTATGACTAAAATGCTATTACTAATGCTTTGTTAATGCTGGTTAATTGGAAAAAATTTCAAAATGTATTTTTTTATAAATTTAATTGATAGAGTTTCCAATTATGAAAAATTAAAACTTGGAAAAAATATTGAAAAACAATTTTAACAAAGAATTGCAACCCAAATGCAGTTAATCTAGAATAATGCATGCAATTAGTACGTCTTTGTTTATAATAGTGTTTTTCGTGCACTGCACGGAGAAAAACATTTTGATCAGAATTACCAGAATATGTTGAAATTTACCGTGTTCTGACTCTATTGAACACCAAATAGCTCAGTATTTTCTACCGACGCACTTTGGTAAAGATTTTGTATACAATAACAATTTGTAATAAATAACAATTTGTGGTAAAATTTGATACTTCTTTCATGATACCATTGAGCATGGTATAAAAACTATTTATTCTGTTAAATTTACTTTACAGTTTTGTATAATTTACTTATTGTATGGCAAGAGGAGTTATAAGTTTAAAAACCAGAATTTTCGGGAAATGTTTAACGTTGTTAATGTTGCGGAAAAATTACCAAAAGAATTTTTTCAATATATAGTTTTATCAACCAGAATCATGTTTATTTCCCCAGAAATGCCATTACCATACAGAACTGTAATTTTACCAGAATTTCACTCTCTGCATACTTATAAAAAAAGAAAGAAATACATTAAGGAATAAAAGAATAACAGAATATATACTATTCATAATTTTAAACTAAGATTTATAATCAAACAAAAGAAAATTAAATATTGCCCATGCACAATAAAATACGTTTTAATTATTTATTTATTTATTTAATTTTGCAAATTATGTAAGGACAAAATCTCAAAGCATAAGCTTAAAAAGTTCTTCTAAGCCTATTTACAGATGACTATATCCCAGATTATTTATCAAACACGTCTCCTGATTTATTTTACATGTCATTCACATATTTGATCTAGACAACATATTCAGACGATCGTATTTCGTATTACTCATCTCGATGTATTTTATTCAGTAAAAGGTGCCGAAGTTGGAAATGAAATAAAATTTTTTTTGTAAAGAACGAAAAAATTTTGTTGAAGCAAAAATAAATAAATATGCAATATACGGGCATAAGAAATATAAATTATGCTGTCTTTATTCGTACATCACAAAACCATACAAAATCGAATAAATTCAAAGAATAATCTTTATTTCAGCATATTTGAATCAGTGATGCATTTGTAATATTATTTTAAAAATCAAATTTAAGCAAAATAAAGCTGCTGCATAAGAAAACTAGTAAAACGTAAGTGATTTTACCTTTTTATTTAAAAATGTTTACTATTACCTTGAGTAAAAATCTGAATCATCATAACATATTGCATTGATTTTGTTATGTTTATTATCATCTTTCCTTACCGTTAATAATTTAAAGTCTGTATTCTGTTTATATCTGATTTTCATCTTGAATTGTCAAATTTATTTTTATTCCATAATTAACCACAGGTTTTTTGACAAAGGAATAAGTGATTTTTATTTAATCAAATAGTTTTGATCATGTATCTCAAAGTTAATTATGGAAAAGAAATATATTTATGACAAATAATTTTACAGATCAAAATAAAAATCAATTCCAAAATACAAACTTTACAGAATGAACAATAAGCAATTGTTAATTCCGTAAATTTCATGTTCCGTTTAAAACTAATTCATATCTTAAATTGTAAAATTATTAGTGTCAAATTTATTTATATTCAGCAATTAACAAAGGGTTTTTTGACCGATATAAAGAAAAAAATAAGTGATTTTCATTTAATAAACTAATTATAACTCGTCTAATCAAGGTTTATCTAACTCCCGTGTTACGATTACTTTGTTTTTAATTTATCGAATCTGAGGTAAAATAAAATATTTGATTTACGTGCCTTGATGCAATATTTTATTATCCGAGCAATTTTTCGCTCACAATTTATTGAAGGGTAAGATATATTTTTTTCCAAATCGAAATTAGGTAATTATA